GAAAAAAAAGTAATGCTCACTATTTAAGAATATTTGAATAAAATTATCAGGCTTTTAAATATAAACTATGATTTCATGATAATATTAAAGTAAAAAGGATGTGAAGAAAAAAATAGTGGTGTGAATTTACACTTGAGAAGAAATTAAACCAGAGATACATTATAATATGAAAGAAAAAAAATTGTAAAAAGACAAAGCCTTGAGAAAGAGCTTTGAAAGATTTCACTTATATGCATGTTTGCAAATATTTGTCTATGTGAGCATATGAGTCGATAACTCTGTAAATAAGTTATGATGAGGAATAATTGTTTTATGAATACCGTGTTATGAGGATCATGCTTGATGACAACCTTTAGAGGCTAGGATATATGCGTTTCACACTTCTTCGAAGCAATAATGAATGACAAAAAAGCTTGGTATATGATATAGCTTTAAAAGAAGACGTCATAAGTAACCAGGTCGAATAAAGCATAACAGCTAACATAAGAAAATTAAGTAATAATTCTACTGATATGTCAAGTAAGATGAACTTCAAAAGATAATAATTGAGTATAATTATCGAGCATTCAAATAAAATTGAGATTCCATGGGAATGTTGAAGTAAGAGGTATGGGAAGAAAGTTATGGTAGAGTAAATTTATGCTTGAGAAGATATTTTATTAAAGATATATTATAATATGCAAGAAGAAAAAAGAAAAAAAAAACTACTAAATGGCAAAAAGTTTTGAGAGCTATAAAATGCTTTCATTGTAGCAACCAACCTGGGATGTTGGCATAGATACCCATGCTCATGCTTGCAAATATTTGTTTATGCGAGCATATGAGTCTATAACCCTGTAAATAAGTTATGACATGGAAATATTATTTCATGAATATCATGTTATAAGGATATTGCTCGATGGCTACCTTTGGAGGCTAGGATAATAGTGTTTGAAACTTTTTTGAAGCAATAATGAATGACCAATAAGCTTGGTATATGATATAACTTTAAAACAAGACGTCTGAGGTAAGGGATAGAATGAGGCATAATAAGAAATTAGAGTAATGATCTTATCTTAAAGCTTAGTCAATTGTAATGAACCTTGGAAGCTTATCTCAACTTGATGTCCTTTGGTTATAAATGAGCTTAAAAGATATAAATATCTAACCCTAATAATTAACACTTTTCATTAATCGAAAACATATTTCAAATTTACCTTTTTAATAATTAATTTTTCAATTAATAAATGATAAATGTTATGTGATTTGATGATATTATGCATTTAATCAAGTTGAGGGGAAGCGTTAAAGGCTTGTTGGATAAGATACATGGCTGTAGATGAATTATATTGGTGAAAATGATTTTTTTTCTTCAGAATATTATTTGAGAGGTACCTTTGAGAGAAAAATAATTCAAATATTTAATCAAGTTGATTATCCATTATAAGATTTTCCAGTCACCAAAATTTGTGAGCCACCAAAACCTAAAGCTGTTTTTTGGTCACCATGTCACGTCTTCGTTCGTGATCGCTTAGAGCCCCTCTTCCATCAATAGGTACTCCCAACGCGTTGACCACACGGCCTAACATGGCAACTCAAACCTTCTTACTTCAAAACATAAGATTTTCTTATAATTCATGTTAATTATTATTATTATATCAATAAATGTTATAATTAGGTGAGAGAACATTCTTTACAATTTCAAACCTTGATAATTGGAATCAGATGAAGCACAAACACGTATATGGGGGCATACATACGACCCTACACAAATATGACGACACATTAAGATTACAAAAAATATAACATAACCTGCAATTGACTAATTTTTATATTTAATAGATTATTAATATGAAAAATATAATTTTTTGTGTAACTCTTATGAAGGCACCCCATGATTAATATAGATTCTCAAAAAAAAAAGAAAAAAAGGCCATATAAATATTAAAAAAAGTAAGCACACTTAATAGAAAAAACATAAATTTATCAAAAAATCACGGGCACAGCAACAATGAAGGGATTGGGAGCCCATACCCCCGTTGGTCCGACCCATTAAATTCAGTTTATTATATTTTTTTTAAGACATTCTTTTGGTGGAAAGGCTCACTCTATATTATTTGAGAAAATATTATGTCCGTATGAAGTGAGGATGTTGATTTATATCCGACTCCAATTAAAATTTGATATATAAAATATTATTTTATTATTGAAAAAGTGGAGAAGATCGACTCGTATTGTTTATGGTGTACAACTTAGTTGTACTGAAGATTTTATTGAGTACAACAATGTTGTGCACTATGACTTTCCCATCGAATTGTTTATTTAGATATTTTTTACTTAGTACAACATGATTATACTGAAAAAAAACTCTTATATAATTATACTGTACACAATAACTTTAACATCATAATGTTTATAAGAATATATTTTTTTTTACTCAGTATGACATGATTGTACCATATGTTTTTTTTTCGGACAATCTGATTGTACATCATGACTTTCTCGTCATATATCTATTTACATATTTCTTTTGCCCAGCTCTGACTTCAAGTTCTACTACTTTTTAGACAATAAAATAATAAATATTACTATGTAGATATCTCACACACAAATCTTGAATATTAGAGAACTAACGTATTCCGTTGACGCTGTCGACAACCTCCGAAGCTCTCACAAAATCTGGATGGGAGACCAAGGGAGTTGAATCTAAGCCAAAGAAACAATGTACTCTATAAAATCTCACCCAAGTCAAATAGGGATTTTGCATCGACGGCGAAATCTGTTGCCCTTGTTCTTTATCCGGCTGCAAAATGACAGTCCGACCAGGCTATTCTACGGGTGCAGCACCAGACTCTCTAGACCATTTGTGATGACCCGCGACCATGGATAGCTCAACGGAGGTGAAGTGCATGACAGTGAATCCAACTGGAGGGATGATCCATATTCCATTTCTTATTATTTTTCTTCTATCGCCTTTAATTTGTCATTCCAGGATGAACGGTGTTAATCTAATATGTGACTTTCATAATATTAAACATTAGTGTGTTAGATATGCAAACAATATTACTTTAAGATGCTAAGTTTGTAAATATAAATATTTTTTTAAACTCACCTCTAATATGTAAATAATATTACTTTCTATTTATACTCTCTCATTTATCTTCATTCTCTATCTCTCTCTATTTCTCCCTCACAGCTCCTACCACTCTCATCTTCGGGCGTGCCTTATAGGATAAATTTGGAGTAAAGTAAAGAAAAAAAAATCTTAAATGACCGATCTTGTTTACGAGCCCGAATAAAAAAGAGCGAGGACATTATTGAATTTATTAATTTATGCCCTCTTTAATAAATATTATAACTCAACTCCTACCTGTAATAAAAAAAAATATTATCCATATTTCATAGGTGAAATCATTATATTTTATAAAGTCTTATGGTTTCCCTCATATTTTCATCGATAAAATCTCACATCTCTCTGAAGTTGCTTAAAACTGATCACAAAGTTCTTATTAAATGCTAATACTAGAATAATACCAAGCATAATTCTTTTTTTTAAGTTTTTACATAAAATTGATCACAAAATTTTTACACTATACATATCTAATAACTAAATTTCGTCTTTTACATATATGCCGTCTTTTTTTTTAGATAAAAAAATGAAATACATCTTTTCATGCATTAGTACCACAATATGCATGTAAAAACTAAAGTTTAGACATTAAATATGTATATACATACGAAATTTATGGTATGCATGTAAATGTCCCTTCTTAATTCTTTTATGTTTTTTTAGAACAACATAGACGAGCCTGTGGTGCCTCGCTTTCTACATGTGATAATTAAACTACTAGTAATCACGGAAGTAATATAGGATCGTTAGGCTTTGTGGCAAAATAATATTCCTTCAAGTTGTCAAGGAAAATTTTCCTGCTTGCTATCCACATTACATCATATCACATTTGGCTTAAAAAAACTCTAGAATTTCAAGAATAACCACGCATCAAAGAAAAAATATTACATACAAAATTAAGCCAGCTGTTAAAGAAAAAAGTAGAAGATGGAAATATAAGGATGATAGTCGTGATAACATTAGAAACCTTTTTTTTTCTTATGAGCAATTTCTAATGCTTGCTCAATGTTTTTTTCTCTGGCATCGTTTCTTTGCTATAATATATCCATGGGGTTTTGCTCATGATTTAGTTCTCTGGCATGTTTTCTTTGCTATACTATACTCATGGGGTTATCACTTAATCACTTGCTTCATCAAGGTTGGCTCTTTGAATATTAGTCACTTTTATCTCTTATTCCACAGTTAACTGAGATGGTTTTATTTTATGGTGAAGCTGGTACTTCTAATTATTTTTTCTTTTGAAAATTGCGGCAAGGAAAATTCTTCTATATCTCGGTTGGGAGATATGCTGCTTTGCGGGGTCTTCTTTTGCATTAGATGTTGAGTTGATACATACTCTTATTTAGACTGCCAAGAGGTGCTTTTATTTTTTTGTTATCAATAATTCTTTGGGGTTGTGTTTTTGGAATTGGTCATGGTAGAAGATTTTCAACCGACTTTGCATGGAAGGAATTCCTTTTGTCTTATTCTGGAAGATTTTTGGAAAGGCAATAATGAAGTATATAACCTCTCTAATGGCTCAACCTATTTTCGAGATTCAGTTGATTTGCCTGCTCTTTCTTATTTCAGAAATACTTAAGGATTGCCGCCTCCTTAAATACCTGTTTGATGGAGCTTATGATTAGAAAATTGTGTTTTTATCTCTGAGCCATTTCCTCTTATTTTTAATTATTTTTTTCTTTCTTTCAAACATCTATTATCTTTTTTTTTCTCTTCAGATTGTAGAATGGCCCGTGATCTTGATATGATGTAATTTTTGATTTATTTGGATGAATTTTTGGCAGAGTGCCCTCACTTTTCTGCAAAAAAAAAAAAAAAAAAAAAAAAGAGCTTTTAAAAGTTATCAAATAAAAAATAAAATAGTAAAATAGTTGCTCCTCCATTCGAATTGAGACTCGCACGGCATATTAGTCTCTCCCCTCCAAATTCTTTGAAGGTCTCTCCTCTCACCTCCCTCCCTTTGCCACAAAAAAGCGAGAGTATAAAACTCCTGATTTACTACTCGTTCCCCCAATCCGCTTCCCTACGCCGGTTTAGAAATCTATCTATTGGGTCAATTATTCTTTATCGCTACAGTGCCCGCTCTCCTTCATCCCCCGTCATGGCAGACGAAGAGGATTTCCCCTCATCGAGTGATCTGGAGGAGCCGGAGGACGGTGATTTCTATCTGAGCGATCATGAGGATGACATCGCGGAGAACGTCCTCCAGGACCTCGAGGATGGTCGACAGGAGGATTGTAATTGGTCCGTCTCGTCGGTAAGAGATTACACCATCCCCCCTTTATTTCCTCTTCCTAGGGCTAGGGCTTCTTCAGGATCTTGGGGCGAGCCAGACCTTTAAAATTCTTCTATCAAAGGTTATTATTATTATTTTCGCGGGCAGATTGTCATGTCCGCTCTTTCTGGCCATCCCCGTGGGTTTATGGCCTTAGAAAATTGTTCCTTTTATGTATTAGTAAGAAAGTTGTTGTGCCATTTATTGCTAGATTCAATCGAGGAAAAGTGGAACTTACGATTTATACATGTTTAGCAAGATTTTATTCCACACAATCCTGAGTTGCAGAGGATTGCCGAGCCAATGTTTACTTTTATAGCGAGTTCATGATTTTCCTTCTATTTTCTCCATTGTTTCTGTTCTAGATCTGTAATCGTGGAATTGTATTTTAGAGGAGACCTGGATCGAAACATGATGCATGCCCCTCCTCTCATGTCTTTTATGTTTATTGATGGTTTCCTTAAACTGACAGTGCACCTGTTTTCATCCAATTCCCTGCAGGTTATCACAAAGGAGTCCCTTTTGGCAGCACAGGTGGTCCGATGATCTTTACAATAGAGACCGGCTCACCTTTATGATATTTAAATTAGAATTGCACCAAGAATATTCTGTACTTATTTTGTGATCGGGTACTTTAATTCTGATTGATTGTCTTGTATATCTGACAGAAGGAAGACCTGAGAAAGATAATGGAGCTATTAGCTCTGAGTGAACAGCATGCCCGGACTTTGCTTATTTATTATCGTTGGGATGTGGAGAGGATTTTTGAGTTGCTTGAGCAGAAGGGGAAGGACAAGTTATTTACAGAGGCAGGGTTAACAATGAGTGAGAATAAAGTCATCGACTTGTCAAGCTACTCGGACTCATTTACATGTAGTATCTGCTTTGAGGATGTGCCCCCTGTTGCAATTACAGAGATGGATTGCGGACACTGTTATTGCAATAACTGTAATATTTCTGTCATGTCAATAACTTATTTTGATGCATCTAGTTGTGATATAGGTTGTCATTTTCGCTACATTAGTCTTTCTTTTTATATTATTTTTATTTGAGTATTCTTGGACATGAGTAAATAGAAAATTTTAGGTCATTACATAGTTTTCGATAAATTAATTGGTTTGCTATTTTCAATCTAGAAATTTTAGTTCACATAGGTCAAATATAACTGTTGTTCAAATTCTTGGGCTGAAATCTTTATGATTTACCGGGTGACCTTTCTATGTGAAAGTAAAAGTAATGCCGGTCTATTATCTAGCGTTAAGGAAAAAAATAATCTTGGATTTCCTTTGACGCGGGGGTTATGGAGGACCGACAGGTCCTCAAACGGAGGGGGTTGCCACTCTTCACTTTTCCTTCTCTTTGTTTCCCCTCTTTTATTCTTAGCACTTTCCTAATATAAATCTTTCCAAATCAGAATTTCAGAATATTTTTATTCCTCTTTCCTAAATCTTTCCTAAATCTGAATTTCCATTATAATCCCTTTCTAAGCTGAATTTCTAAATCAAAATTTTTGAATAGTTTATTCCTCTTTCTTAAATTTGAATTTCCATTATAATCTCTTTTCTAAACTGAATTTTAAAATCAAAATTTCTGAAAATTTTATTCCCCTTTCCTAAATTTGAAATCCTGATTTGATTCTTCTTTCTTATTTTAAGTATTGCCTCAAATAAAGTCTCAATCTCATTATAATTGGAGGATGATGTGCTCAGAGTTAAGAGTCTTGTTTTGATTTATGAATTCAGGTTTTACCCTAGAGTTTTCCCTTTGAGGGTGTATCCGACGTCAAGGAAGTGCTCCGGCTATCTCTCATTCGAGGTGATGATCGTCTCCACTGGTCCGAGTGGTGCTCCAGCTGCAGCTTAACCCCGACGAGATATTTATCTATTCTTCCACCCTTCTCGTTGCTGTTTACCCGCCCCTCCTCTTCTAGCAGGCCACTGTCCCTCCTCTTCCAGCAGGCTACTGCTTCAGCGACATGCAACCTCCTTTCGTACAACTTTCCTTCAGGCTGCACCTACAACTGCTCATTCCAACTCTTCCCTACAGCTTCCTTGCTGGCCACAACCATCACGTCGCCTTATTGCAGCTTCCCTGTAGGCTGTACTGTTTGCAACCCCTTCCATATATTTCCTACTGCAGTCCCAACTGCTCCTTCTAGCTGCGATTCAACGTCTTAACGATCGTTGATTTGCTGTCTTACTCTTTCACAGCCGTCCAACATCTCTCCGACCTTCACCGTAACTACCAATCTAGCACCACCTCTCCAGACTTCTCATCAGTTTGTTATGTCTCCTTTTGTCGAGTATTTATTTGCAATTCTTTATTTTATGCTTTTGCTTTGTGTGTTGTCTTTTCTTCTTTTAAGTTTTCGTTGTAACCTTGTTTAATTCGTTAGTTAAATTGTGTCGTGTTTGTGGTTTGAGTTAAACTCCGGTTTCATTTAGCATCGGAGCTAGCCCAACCTTATTCCCGTCTTAGAGTTTTCTAGCGTCCACCCCTACCCAATCCACCACTCCAAATTTTTTTCTTTCATTCGGTTCTTTTTTCTCTTCTTTCTTAGTTCCTTCTTTTCTTTCCTTCCACAAATCCTAAACCGTCAACCATGTTGCAAATGAGATCTATGTCCGAGCCTCCTCGGGATGAGGTACGGTGAGAGCTCCGTCGTCTTCAGCAGAGACTTATGGATATTGAAGAGGGAATTCTGTGGGAGGTTGCCCTCGTCTGTGATTTGGAAGCTCGAAGGGAAAAATGAGTTTGGAAGCTCGAAGGGAAAAATGAGAAAATATGAAAATGAAGCCGGAAACGGAGCGTCAGTTCCTACCATCTTACTACCGCCAAAAGTTGCAGACTCTAGCTTTCGAAGTGGAGAGACTGCATCACCAAGCGACCCCTCTTGCTACTATATAGAAGAACTAATTCACAAGTTTGTTACAATTAGAAGATGTTACAAGTGCCATGGATTTGGACATGCTGAAGCAGAATGCACAATAAGCGGAGTGATCTACTTCACCTAGTAGGGCGTCCTCAAAAAGTTGGGTAAATGCATCATGAACATTGAAAAGCAGTTTGAACGAGAATTTTCATCCAATGATGTCTCCCTCTATGGAAAACCTTTGTTCGTAGATACATCAAATGCGTTTACTCCATGTGATCAAAAGGTGCATGCGATTTTGATGTGATTTGCGGTTCCTGCTTTCTTATAAGATGGAGAACTTTTTTGTTGGGAGATGTAAAAATCATGCAGACCATAATATTTCAGAATTCAAAATTTTAGTGGATGATCTTAGTAACAACAAACTGATAGCATCACAGGTAGATACACTTTCATCCTCCAGTGTTCAATATGAAGAGACGAAAGGTCAGTGTGAAACTTTTGTTATTGGAACACAACAGAAGATGTCAACTTTCCAAAATTTATAGATCAAGGGCAAGACCCGGGAGATAATAAGAATCACTCATCAACCAAAGTTTTGCAATCTTCAACCTTGCTGAGACTCAACTTGTCATAGATGAGAAACATATGAGATATTTACTTCGGAATTTGGCTCAGGAGAAGCTACGTGGTGGTATACATCCGACTCAGATTATGCCAAACCAAAATGGATCGATAGGGAGGTATGCTCACAAGTGGGAAAAGTTTCTCAGTGCTTTGGTAGATGGTGCAATCACTAGTAGGATCCATGGGTGGTTGACAACAGCTCGTTTATATTTCGAGCTCAAAAAGTGAGTTCGTGTTCGGCTCGTTTGCTTAGCGACCTGAACACGAGCCGTTCACAAACAAAGAGTCGTTTTGACAACCCTAATCACGTAACCATAAATTGTTAAAGATTGGGACAAGATTTAAAACATCATTTGAATCTAATTTAATAATTTTTATTATATTTTTAATTAATACTTTTAATTGATTATAAATCTTTGTAGCCTTGTAGTCAATTATTTTTTTTTAAAATACTACTCATCAAACAAAGAGATATATATATATATATATATATATAATTGTTTAGTAGTATTTCGAGCCAAAATCAGCAAACAAACAAATATTTGTTCGTGTTGTTCGTGTTCGGTTTGTTAACTTAGCGAGCAAGCCGAACACGAGCTTCTTAACGAGCCGAACATGAGCTGTTCGCGAACAACGAGCCGTTTTGACAGCCCTAGACACATCAACTATAATCTTTTATTTTTTAAATTGGGCTTTTATCTTACTTTTTTGGGGGTCTCATCCTATCTCATTGAGATGACCTCTTTATTGTCGTTGATACCACTTTTCTTCAATCATTGGAAATCCATAATTCTTTAGCCAGGCTTTCTGTTTGAGAAAAGGCAAGTGTGAAAATTCTCTATTGTTTCTTGTCTATATTTGCACTTTTGATTCAAAAGTTTAAGCAAGATTGCTCCATATATATGCAAGAGAGCATCCATGATGCAAAGTTTTTTTTTTGGTTATATATAATTTTCAAATTTCTTACGCTTTTCATTTGCCAGAAAATTTTGGGAGTTCTTGGTTGTGGAAACGTTAGTTTAATTTTAATTTTTATTCTCTTCAGGTTGGACAGGATATTTTGTTGTTAAAATAAATGATGGTCAAAGCCGCCGAATTAGTTGCATGACTCCAAAATGTAATGCAGTTTGTGATGAAGCTATTGTAAGGAGTTTAGTTAGTGCAAGGCATCCAGATATTGCAGATCGGTTTGAGAGGTTCTTACTTGAGTCGTACATTGAAGATAATAATAAAGTTAAGTGGTGCCCCAGTGTGCCCCATTGTGGAAATGCTATACGTGTGTTGGGTGATATTTACTGTGAAGTGGAGTGTACCTGTGGAATGCAATTCTGTTTCAGCTGCTTATCAGAAGCTCATTCTCCATGTTCTTGCATAATGTGGGAGCATTGGACAAAGAAATGTCACGATGAATCGGAAACGGTGAATTGGATCACTGTTAACACAAAACCTTGCCCCAAATGCCACAAGCCTGTTGAGAAGAATGGCGGATGCAACCTAGTTGCTTGTATATGCGGTCAAGCATTTTGGTAAGGATGACTAAATTAACTATTTATATTTCCTAAATAATTTTTATGTATGTCCATGTAGTGCTGCCTGGTTCCTTTTCAAACTTGTTTCTATCTGTGCATGTATGTGTTGGCATGCTAGATCCTACTGTTAGTTTTGATCACCATAAAAAAATCATAAGTGCAATCCTTTTGATTGATAAAATTTGGAAATGATTATCACTTATGGATTCTTTTTTCATTAATGTGAGAATTGAATGTTTTGTTGCTTTACTCCTAGCATCAATACCAGGCTAAGCCTAATGTGACCCTCTTATGGTGCTTCTATCTACTCATTAAATATGATTAGTTTATGATACTTTTGCAACAATAATATGTAAAATTTTTTGTTCAGTTTCTGTTGGACTTAGATTTGCAATTTTAACGTTCTTAATGATTATTAGGATTTCTTTTTTCAAATTATAATTTTCTTGCATCATGTTCCCCGTGTTGTAAAACCTGATTTTAAATTACCTCTAGTATACTGATTGAGATTTGATTCTTGTTTGGATTTTGCATTTAGTTTGTAACTTAAAGATCAATCTCTCCTGTTTAACAGTGCATATTTTTTTTTAAATTTTTTTGTGTTGATGAAACAACCTTATTAGATAAAATATTGGTAGGCATTTTGTGGTAAATTAAAATGTGCGATGAAATGGATCTTCTGGGCTGGCAATTGATAGGCTTTGTAACAAGCTACATTGTTCTTCGTCATTACTATCTTTTTAGTATAGTATTTCCAATCTCCATAATACCCAATTTTGTCCATGCTTATTGTTAAGTAACAAATTTGAGTTTATTCATATTTTCATTGCTCATGGTATAGCTTACATGTAATGTTTTTAGAATGCGTATAGATTTTATAGAATTTGTCTGTATGCCGTGTTTTCTCAATAATACTAGAAAACCAATGTCCCTTGCTTCAGCTTTGGCACTGGCTGCTTATCATTGTTTACCAATGTAGTAACGATTAATATGATTTCTGTGCTATTTCGGGTGTCACTTTTATTCTTATTGATTTGGTTGGCATTGTGGTAGTTGTGTGATAGTTTTTTTTTTTTAAATCTTGGCAAATGTTTAATTATACTCATTTTATGTGGCTTCATGCCCCAATGAACTACATAACATTTTACTGTTTTGCCGCCTATGATGCACGAACAATTTTGAATGACCTCCATGTTTGTGTTGGAAATGTGTTGGAAAGGGACACGCCTCCAACAAGCTTCGGCACATGTTTGACATGCCACAAACTATATAACTTTTTTTATTATAAATTTGTGCTCTGACGTGACTCAGACACAGCAATGACATGACAGGACTAGGCAAGGGTACAAAAAGATACATATAAATGCTTATGTAATAAAATTTATTATTATTTGGTACTTTTTTTATTCTTAGAAAGTTTTTTTTTTACTGATATTATATTTCACCTTATGAAGTTTTTAAATAGAAAAATATTAGAAGGTTATATATTTCATATTAATATTTTATTAAATATAACAGCATGTTTATTGCGTGTGTTGTTCTACTTTTTTTCAATTATACAATGTCAACATGTCCATTTCCCCATATCCATATTCATGCTTCATAGTTTCCTGACCTTTGAAGGCGGACTTTATTGATCGAATCTTCTTTTGGAGTTTTAATGCTTGATCAAAGGAAGAAACTTTATGGTAGAAAAAAAGAGAGCAGTCGTTGCAGCTAAAGTGATAGTGGTGACCAGGACTAATGCCTATTATTTATATGATAATATTTTGGCAGGAATTTCACATTTGTTAATTCAGTAGCAGCATCCTCAAAATGTACAAAATAATTGTAATTATTTTAGAATTGATGTCATTCTGTGTAAGATTAATACACACTTTTCTACAAGCACAATGTAGCAATATTGTAGGTTATTAATTCCTCCCATATTTCAAAAGAGGCTAACACGTTGAAATGTTTGAAAGATTGGACCCAAGTATTAACTTGAAATACTTTACCTCTTTAGATCTTTGCCTATTTTTATGATCATTGAACTCATGATATTTGAATTTTCTTTGATTTCTTAAATCGCACTTGCATAATGGTTTCATCATGCCTAATACACTCATCCACTCTTTGAGCTTCTCTGGTCCGTTCTTTTCAATATTTTTACCAGGTTCTTATCCTTGTCGTGGTTGTTGTACTCTTATCATTGTCATAGTTTTGAACTCGATCCCATATGTTTTATTTGGTTACCTTGTTCATCTGTTTCCCTTTTGAGATATTTGGTAGTCATTCAAGTCACTTTTCTCTTACTTTTATTTTGTTTTCTCTAGTAATGTGTTTTTATTTCATTGCTAGGTGTATCCCATCTCATAGCTTATTTTTTTATTTGTTGTTTGATTTAAAGTAAAATGGGTGTAAAATCTCTAGTAATAAGCAAAATGTATTGAAACTATATCATAATAAGAAAGAAGAAGCTAATGAACAATTCATCTTAAAATGTTAGAGAAATTTATCATTTTCTATTTATTTTATAATATTATGGTCACTTAAATCTTTTAAGCGGTTAGGAACATTGGAGTTCCAATCGGCTGGAAAAAAAATTCTTTCCCAGAGGTTTCACAACCTAGTTAAATCCCTTATTTTTTGTGCAATTTGATGTTTACCATAATTCTAACTATATAATCTGTTAAGTTTATCCATTAACTTTTCGATAATGATCCAAAATAGTCATTCTGTTAGATTATTTTGGGTCAGGTTTGAGAAGTAAAGATAGTATTTTGGATCATCTTTGAAGAGTCAAGGGACTAAATTGGATACATTTGATAGTTTGAGACAAAAATGGCCCCTTATAAGTAGTTTAGGGATCACTTTGACCTTTTTCTCAATTTTTAACTATCCCTCTTACATGGAAGATAGTAGCAAGCGTAGATATCTTGGCATTGACTTGTCTTACTGAGACATTTAATATGGCTAATTGTTTCTTGACCTGGCAAGCTTATTCCTTCAAGTTCTCTCATAATGTATGAGATGATTATTATAATTATTAGCCTAATTAATGCTGCATTTATAATTTGGCTTTATTTACTCTCTTTATTTTCTTTCGTTTCCATATTTATATATTTCTGAATTTAAGGGTTTGTTTGGGGCGGCTGCAGCTTATCCAACTTATCCAGATAAACAACTTATCCTGATAATCTGCTGATCAACAGTTTATCCTGATAAGTTGATTTGCTGTTTGGTTTGTGTGTTTATAAAAACAATGATTTGTAGTTGTTTATGGATAAATGACTATTTCACCTATGTTCTAGATAAACTGTTTAAATGTTTGGTTTGTGCGTTTGGAAAATAATTGATTTGCAGTTTTTTCTGGATAAATAACCATTCTGACACACATCAATTGTGCTGTTTGCAACAGAACTGCAATGACTACACATTAGATATTTCAAAACCAATAAAACCACTTCATAACAGTACAAAAAAATGATATACACCTCACTTAAACTTAATAGTGAGTATCAAGAAACATCAAGAAACAAAAAAAAAAATAAAAATCATATTAAAATTGTAATTAAAATTATAATAATATTCATTTTAAAGTGCATAGGAAGTATGTCACAAGCAACGTCGTCCGGTTGGGATGTCGTCGAACCCTGAACAACGTAGTCTGCTTGCAATATCATCGAACCCCGCTCACTACCGACAGTAGAATCGGGCAGCTTATCTGCCCACCTGAAGAACTCAAACCAATCCGGGCCGTCTGCCCTCCGCGGGCACCTGTAGAACGGCCGCCCGTAGCTATGTAACCGCCATGATGTGAGTGACAAAGACGACAGTTCATAGCGGCATAACACTCACCCAGAGTTTCCTAAAATCCTGAAGCTCATCTTATTACAATTATGCAAGGGATAACACATCAACCATAAAATTAGATGAAATAAAAAAATCACTGAAATTGAAAATAAAGAATACTATTGCATAAAGAAACGAAACGAAATGTTGATTAAAAGAAAAATAGTAGGCAGGAGTACGAAACAAAGCCACGGAAAAAAAAAAACATAAAAAACTCAAATATAAACTAAAGAAAAAAAATTCCCCAGAAATTTTCAAATCCAAAAATATACGGAACAAAATTATACTAAACATAAAATAAAATAAAAAAATAGCAGGTGTGAGGCCTCAGAGAAGTAACTAACCAACCAACGAGTCTGTCACAACATGCAGACAGTAGACCTTATAAAAAATGAGTTTTTAGTTGTCTTTAACCCACGTGAGACCAACGTCCAGTGCCGGATGTGCATATCACAAAAAAAAAAAAGACCATCTAGTAGATCCGTATATATCGATGCATAGACGAAAGAAAGGATTTCGGTTGCCTTTATTTGGATTTCTCATGCAACACCAAAGGGTAACTCACAACCTGTGGCACATATGCGTATCACTAAAAAAGACCATCCCTGTGGATCCTCGTAAACCAACACACCCAAAGCCAGAAGATCACAACTATGCCAACATAAACACCACTCACATCCACCAAACATCGACACACCATTATGCCACCTCCACACCCACACACCCAAGGCTAGAAGAACACACCCAAACCAACATAAACAACACTCACAGCCACCAAACAACCTCACCTCACATCAAACCCATAGACCCAAGGCTAGGAGATCACACCCAAAGGCAGAAGATCACAACCATGCCACCATAAACACCACTCACATCCACTAAACACAAGCCCACCATTATGCCACCTCCCAAGGCTAGGAGAGCACACCCAAACCAACATAAACAACACTCACAACCACCAAACAACCTCACCTCACATCCACCATCAAACTCACAGACCCAAGGCCAGGGGATCACAACCAAGCCATCATAAAAACCTTACACATACACCATACACATGCACCTTCACATCCACCACCAACTGACACACCCAAAGGCAAAAGATCACACCCATGCCACCATAAACACCACATATCCACAAACACCAGCACACCATTATGCCA